TCTTCCAGTTACCTACAACCTTTCACTCCTCCTCTTGTTCTCTCAGGTCTTCACGTAGCAGGAGTATATGTATATACTGGGTGAGTCCATTTGTGTAAAAAGGAGAGGACCCCACAACAATAATCTTTCCACTACATGTCAAAAAAGGTACTCTCAAGTTAAAAAAGGTACTCTCAGACTATCTAAAGAAAGAAGTTTTGTTTTGGAGGTGTTAAAATTAACAAGGCATTTCTTACTTCATTTAAGAAACAGATTGTTGGTCATTTTTATATATTTTCATAGGCATTTCTATTAAGCTATTATTGTATTCTTTATATATTAAGCCATTATTCTATTCTTTAAATATTTTTATAGGCATTCCTATTAAGCTATTATTCTATTCTTTATATATTAAGTTATTCTATTCTTTAAATATTTTTATAGGCATCTCTATGAAGCTATTATTCTATACTATATGTATTTTTATAGCCATTTCTATTAAGCTATTTTTCTATTCTTTATATATTTTTATCGGCATTTCTATTAAGAATTATTTTATTCTTTATATATTAAGTCAGGGGTTTTCAAACTTTTTGACTTGCGGACCCCTTTATATTTCAGGCTTTACCTTAGGGACCCCCCCCTTATAAACGCTTATGAAATTTATACATAAATATTTGCTGAATATAACATATAATTTTGCAGTAATGCAAACGCCTAACAGCCAATGAGAAAGCCGGAAATCACTAAATAGATCCAAAATTCAAATCCTTTGGTTCCTTCTCTGCATGAATAGAATCCATTATCTTTATCAATTTAAGATACAAATTATATTAGTATAGCAAATCTATGAAATAATTTATTGAATCAATTTATTTCATGATCGGCCTATAAGTTATTTATAAGCGCTTATAAGTTGCACGTCACCCATAAAAAAGTCGTAGCTGTCCACGGACCACAGTTTGAAAACCCCTGTAAGTTATTTTTTTTGTTCTTTATATATTTTATAGGCATTTCAATAAGCTATTATTATATTCTTTTTATTGTCCTCGTAATTGAAGACACCTTAAATACGAGGTTAACGTGAGATCTTGCTTCTCCTGGAAAGGGGTCAACAGTCAAAACTATTTAGAAATCTCCGTTTGAGACGAAAACCAGACAGCGTAATTTGATGTAAAACTAGAATAATTATAAAAGCTACGACAGAAACAGTTGGATAAAAAAACACAACAGACGAAAATAAAACGTTGGTGGTCAGGACAGACGGTGGTGAGTTAGTCGCGTTGCGGTATACACTAAGTTGAAAACACTTGACCCCTGAGACATCGTTGATTTACGACGTCATGAATAAAGGTCAAGGTTTTCAAATCCCCGACTACCCGATCGGGCATTCCTTCAGACCCGATAGTGGCGACGATAGTCGAGAATTAAACGTCTGATACGTCTTGTTGTCGTTGTGCTATTAGATATTAAACTTCACTTGCAAACGATGAAGTACTTGGCGTGTTTCTCAAATAAACTCCCGTTTTAAAGCGGCGGAATGCTTACAATGGATTTTTCATTAACAACCTGAACCAATGGAAATCTCCTAGGTGTTGACAAAGAGAATCAACCATTATCCCAAGCCTTTTCACTTCTCTCACACCTTGCCTGTATCTTCACATTCTCTTCCTTATCCTTTTCAATACTATAACGATTATCCATTATCTCATTTTTTAGGCTTTTTCTTACCCTTACCCAACGAGGATCAACCATTATCTCACACCTCTTCACTTCTCTTACACCTTGCCTGTATCTTCGCATTCTCTTCCTATCCTTTTCAATATTATACAATAACCTGGATATAAGAGAGTTGTCGGGACCGGAGAAGAAGTCTCTTATATCCGGGTTTTCTTATATCCGGGTTTAGTCTATTTTGTTTAGGTAAGTATGAGAACACTTTGGGACCAGAGCAAATCTCACTTATATCCGGGTTTCTCTTATATCCGGGTTTATCTTATATCCGGGTCTCTTATATCCGGGTTACACTGCAATTATGCATTATCTCATGCCTAGGCTTTTCTCTTACCCTTACCCAACGAGGATCAACCATTATCTCACACCTCGTCACTTCTCTTACACCTTGCCTGTATCTTCGCATTCTCTTCCTTATCCTTTTCAATACTATAACGATTATCCATTATCTCATGCTTAGGCTTTTCTCTTACCCTTTTGCCTGTATCTTCTTTTCTCTTCCTTATCCTTTCCGATCCAATAAAGATCAGTCATTATTTAATGCTGCTGATCTTGTCTAATCCTTTTCAGTATCTTCTCATTCCTTGCTTTATCCTTTCCAACGCGAAAATAAATTCCATTATTCATGTCTGAACACTCCTCTTCTTTGCCTGTATCTTTCTTTTCTCCCTTATCCCTTTCAAAATAGCAAAGATTATCTATTAGTTCACAACTTCTGTCACATTTAGCCTGTATCTTCTTCATTCTCCCTTATCCTTTCAAATAAAAAACAATGAATGTCTATTATTTCATATTTCTACGCTTCTGTCACAATCTGAATGTATCATCTTCTTTTTCTTCCTTACCCTTTCAATACAACCAAGATTATAAATTATTTTACGGTTCGAAGACTTTTAACCTGTATCTTCTCCTTCACTCATTAACCTTTTCAATACAACAATGAATGTCCCTTATCTTATATCTATACACTCCTCTGACTCTTGCCTGTATCTTCTTGTTTTCATCCTTATCCCTTTTCGATAGAGTTAGATTATTGATTATCTCATGGTTATAAACACTTTTAACTGGTATCTTCTCAGTGGACATTCATTGTTGTATTGGAAAGGATATAGGGACAATTAGGCTAAAAGTGTTAGAACCAAGAAATAATCGATAATCTTAGTTGTATAATAAACAGTATTAATAACATTTACCGGCCTGAATGTCCGAGAAATTTTCATATATATATATATCCTCCGACAGAAATCGAACTTGTATCCAATACGGAACCGTCAAATAGCCTGACGGGCCTTAACCAATTGAGCCACAGAATGTATAAACATAAAATGTCTTAAATTGTCGGACTTGTCCATTTCATAAAGTGTGGCGTCATTTGTTTACATTTTGGATACGCTTTGAGCAGATATGAATGTACGTGAGAGATTCATGGAAGATTATAGTTTAAAAGCAGCAAAATCGACCTTGCTAATCGAACGATCACTGTGGCTCCGTCGGTTAAGGCACATCGGTCTATATGACGGTTCCGTATAGGATGCAGGTTCGATTCCTGACGTATATTTTTGTATGAAAAATTTCTCGACATTCAGGCCGGTAAATGTTGTTAATACTGTTTATTATAAACAGAGCATTTACTTAAATATTTGTATCTATAAAAAGAATGTATAAACATAAAAATGTCTTAAAATAATTGTCGGACTTTGTCCATTTCATATATGGAATTGTATATATTGAATTGTATATATTGAACATTGAATTGTATATATTGGATAATATATATATATATATATATATATAAGTGAACATTGAAGTCAACATTCAGAGGCGACAGGCTGTTTCATGCTAGGTGCAATCGTCAGGTCATCATATCTTTATATGTATATATATATATATATATATATATATAATCAATCCTGTTATATTTCACTCACCATTAGCTTATTTTGTTTACTATAAAACATTGAAAATAAATGTTAAACCTGATTTCAGTTCTTTTATTTTAATCTAAATATAATCCCTCATATCCCGAATCCCTCATATCCGGATATTGTAACCAATTCCTCATATCCAGAATCCTTCATATCCGGACATTGTAACCAATTCCTCATATCCGGAAGGCCTTCTTAACCCGGTTGTCAGGGATTCTGCTGTATTTTAATTGAATTATTATGTTATATTATTATTAAAGTAACAAAGTAAATATTTCTTAATATGAGTTCATCGATCCATTCTTTTTATTTAATAATTTAATTTCATTACTAAAAATTAATATTCATCATTTTCCTTCTAAACACAGCCTACAATTCCTATTAATAATATTATATAGGTACTTTTTATAATTTTCCATACAACTTAGTAGGTAGATTTTTTTTTTTGAGTCCATATATATTTTTGATAATGTTGTGCTATAATATGTATTTATCTATATTACAAAAAACCTAAAAATTGATATTTAATGTTAAGCAATCTTTTATATAATATTATTAATGCTCTATTTTTTATATTATTTTAATATTTAATATAATTTCATATATATATATATATATATATATATATATATATATATATATATATATATATATATATATATATATATATATATAGTATAAGGTTTCAAAACACTAATATTCCATGGTTATAATTTATTACATTGAAATCGTAACAACGATTCAAACTGATGAATTGATCGTGATTTTAATTCCAATACAATAAATTATAACCATGGAATATTAGTGTTTGAGCCTTTATTATATCTTACTCTGTCCTGGGACATTGAGTTCTACCTAGATTCTATCCTTTTGAAAATTTATATATATATATATATATATATATATATAAAAAATTTATGGAGAGTTAACCTAGAAAAAGACAATATTTAGAAATAAATTTGAAAGTCCACATTGGACGAAACGCGTCAGCAATAACTACAGTGTCTTATTGTCATTTATATATATATATATATATATATATATGAAGAAATATAGTTTTAAGGTATGCTATATTTATGGGATAAAAGTGCTCAACATCAGAGATAGAGTGTGTGTAATATAGGAAGAGTGAATTAGAGGCGACAGGCTGTTTCATGCTAGATCGTTAGCCACGCTAGCACGAAACAGCCTGTCGCCCTGGAGTGTTGACTTCCTAATGTTCACTTTATATATATATATATATATATATATATATATACGTGTGTGTGTGTATGTATGTATTGATTCACTATTATTATCAATATATATATATATAGAAAATATATATATATATAGATAGAGGATAGCTATAGATAGATAGACAGATAGATAGATAGACAGATAGATAGATAGATATAAAGTCAACTCCCCACACACACACACTAAGAAGAGAAAACAAAAATTATCAACGCTGCTGAGTACCGTCCACTTCGTTTAAGACATGAAATCACGGCTCTCCAAACTTCCACTCTCTTGTTAATGTAAGTCATGACTCTTTACCCCCCCTATGTTTATTCCTCTGCTATCCATTTTATCAGACTGTTACGTCATTTTTTCGAGTGCCCCCTACCCCAGCCGATGTCTACCCTTTCAATAAGTCTTGTGAGTGTTAAATTTTCAAAGCCTTCTTTCCTCGTTATATGCCCGCAAAACGTTCTTCAAACGGCATCTATTGAAAAAAAACGCTACCAGCCCCCTTTCTTCTTGTTCTTTTCGACTACGTTTGCCTAAGAGGTCTTTTTAGCCTTTCTTTCTAAATCGACACCAGGAAAATGTCGTCTGCCTCGCACTGCTCCGTAATAACAGTCTATGAAAGCAACTCGTTCAATTTACGCTACAGTAAAGGGCGCCCCACATCCCACCATTTTTTTCTTTTTCTTTTTTTTTTGAGGGGGGGGATTTTTTTAGCTATTGTATACAATGTATGCACTTCATTACGCGGATACTTAGATAAATAGACAAATAAACACGATCTTGTTATATTTCCTCCCCGTTTTGTTTTTTTAATCTATTTTAGGCGAGTGAGAGGGTGTCTTTTTATCGGCTCTCGTCAAGTCGAGCGGAAAAACTCATCGACCAGATCTATTTCTGCTCACGTGACTGACGTCGTCGGTTGACGCATTTGGGCATGCGCCGGCGTCTCTCCGTTTTTCACTGCATGGCGGGAAAATCTCAAAAGAAGACACAGAGATTCGCCTCCTACCCGTTGTCTACCAGCCTCTTTAGACTGCCGGCAATCAGAGGAACGGCATCCGCCACCACTTCATACACACACACCCACACACACACACACGCACACACACACACGAACGCACACGCGTACACACACAGAGAGAGACATACAGAAAGGAATGATGAGCAACTGAGGCGGGGGGCCTGGAGCTAGGGGAGTGGTGGGGAAAGACGAACAAACAAACAAAGCAAATAACGAAATAAATGTATAAAAATAAACGTCTTCCAGCCGAGCGGAAGGAAAAGCAAATGGAATTATGGAATTATGACAAGAATGAAAATAAAATAAAAGTATTTCAAAGAGATAGATAGATAGATAGATAGATAGATAGATAGATAGATAGATAGATAGATAGAATGAATTAAGGAAAGAAGAGACGAAAATAGATGAGATAGACAGATGAGACAGACAGACAGATAGATAGATGGGAAATGAATTAAGGAAAGAAGATAGATAGATAGATAGATAGATAGATAGATAGATAGATAGATAGATAGATCTTAACAGACTGAAACAGTTCGACCTGAACAGACTGAGATAGATAGATAGATAGATAGATAGATAGATAGATAGATAGATAGATAGATAGATAGATAGATTTTTCACACAATCTCATTGGATTTATGTTTCCAAAAGAAGATGCTAAGGAGTTTCTCACGCATTTGTTCTCAAGCCCTGGATCCTTCTCTCTGTTTCTGGCAAAAGTGTCCCCGTTTCCATCCACATAGGAGAATGGAGACTACCAAAGGATTTGTACAGTCTCTACTTCCTTAAAACCTGATTTTGCTCCTCCATATTCTTTGCCAATTTTATTATATACATATTATTATATATATTGATGAACATTATCACATGAAACCTGAAAGTGGATAAATTGGTACTAATAAATTGATAATCTTATATTTAGGCTCTGTTGACCTGGCATTGAACGTTCAATCTATTTTATATTTAAGCTTTTATTTTTATATATATATATATATATATATATATATATATATATATATATATATATATAAATAACTTCGTCAATATTATGAGGTCATGCAGATCAGTTTTCCAATAACTCATTTACAATTTTTCGGATACAATAATATATATTTTCGTTGTCCTCTTATTACTAAGAGAAAAAACAAGAACAACATCTATTCCATACCTGAAGATGTCTGTAAACAGACGAAAGCTTGTCGTAAAATAAGAACTAATACGGCAGATATTTATAGAAACAAGGATCTTTTCATTCATAACGGATTCGGAGGTTTTTGTATATTATTTGAATTATTTTATGACGATGGATTTCTCGCCAATTAAATCATTAACCTTTGCATTTGTTTTTTGTGTGAATAATTCATGAATTTGTAAATTGATTGCACGTTTATCGAAATATATATATATATATATATATATATATATATATATATATATATATATATATATATATATATAATAAAAAAATTATACAGATTTTTAGAACCTCAAAGTTTTGGTAAATTTTCTTTTTTTGTATCAAAGGAGTGACCATAAATTAGCAGAAATTTTAGCGTTTTTTTTGAGGAAAAATATCAAATATACCTGTAATGATTTTTATGAAACATTCAGAACTTATTCACAAAATAAATTATTTTAGAAATGTTTTTTTAGTAAATTTTAAAAAATATTTTTTATGTGTCCGAGAAATTCGGTATTTCTTTTTTAATGTTTACAATTTTTAGACAATTGAAATTATAAATTTTACTTTTTACAGTTACAGAAAATCTGCTTAGTCATCGTAAAATCGAAAATGCAATAAAACTGAGACATAAGAAATTATTTAATTCAAAAAATCTTTTTTAATTTACTTTTCATCGAAAATAATATATTATTGATAATATTTTAAAAAATTCGATGAATAGTGAATATTTACAAGAATCATTTTCATTTCTTTTAATTGGAATCTTTTAATTCTTTATTAATTTTAAGTATTAGTGATGATGTTTTGAAGTAAAACTTATTTATTAATCATAAATGGAAAACCTTACCACAACTTAGCATTACCGCCGTATTTAAAATCATTTTAATTTGTTTTGTGTGTGTATACATTTATCGTTTTACTAAAGAACTCCCAAAAATAAGACCCAGCAAAGTGCAGAGAAGAACTCTCAATGTGTCAACAGCCAGCTAACTAGGAGGCAGTGTCCCCATAAACCACCGTGGAACGGGAAACCCACTCAACTAGAAATCCCAAGAAATATCATGGCAACTAGGACACACATCCTGGAATCTAACATTTGAATCGGATAAATACATGAACTTTTGTTAATTTTTATAAAATGGAAGTATATTTGTTGCACGCACACTCACACACACACACACACACATATACATATATATATATATATATATTTATATATGTATATATATATATATATATATATATATATATATATATATATATATATATACATATATATATATATATATATATATATATATATATATATATATATATATATATATATATATATATAGTGATACATAATATCAAAAATATATATAAAAAAAACAATTACTTCAAATCAATTTATACTAGTTTTGAAACACACCAGAGTCTTTGGCTTATTGAAAAATATCAAATCCAGTCTCTTGGTTGAAATTAAAAACTAAAATAAAGCTTCAAGAAAGATATTGTTCACTATTAAAATTTATTCTAAACGTTATGTATCGCGTTTTAGAGGTGGGGTTATATATATATATATATATATATATATATATATATAAAATAGATCCTAAGAGCCAGGAACAACTCTACCTAGGTTTCCCCTAAACGGGACTTCAAGACATATATATATATATACGTACTCAACAGGAATCAAACCTGTATCCAACAAGGAACCACAACTGACCGTGTTAATGATTGAGCCACAGAGGAATAAACAGTTAGGTCGATTTTACTGTTTTTAACCACAGTTCTCCACGATTATCTCTCGCATATTCATTATCTCTTCGATGCGTATCAAATGTAAATAAATGACGTCACATTATGTAATGTCGGTAAAGCTTGTCAGGCTATATGACCTTCCTTTTAAATATATATATATATATATATATATATATATATATATATATATATATATATATATATAATGTCATCCGCAAACAGACCCTGTTTCGCTTATATCCACAGCTCTACTTCAATGCGACTAGACATTCAAATACTTCAAGCCAGGATCAAAGCCGACCGATCTGGTACTCAGTCGGAGTTCTACCCATAAGCCATCAGGGCTTCGGCGGAGAGAGAGGCGAATTCTAGCCCTACTATTTTTCCGAAAACAAACGCCAGACATTAATGATATATGAAGTGTGTGAGTGCGTATGCGTGTATGTGTGTGTATATGCAGGGTGCGATGGGTCAATTTGTCGCCATATTTTATTTTTAATTTTCGCGTTGATTGTTTTCGATTTTGTCGAAACGGCATGCTGTACTGTTTGGCATTCGCCCTGGAAGCTCCAATACGAACATTTCAGAGTATTTGGGTGTCAATCTGGGGACAGTGCAGAGATTCGGAAAGAGTTGGATGAGTTTAATATCGTTCTAACAAGAAAAGGCAGCTCAGAAAACTTGGTGAGGCCTCCAGACTCAACATAGAGGCCTTGAAGTGCCTAGAGGAGGTAATGCTGTCCTGGGTTAAGAGTGTGGCTGCTGAAGACCTATATCTGGCAACAGGACTTTGCACCATACCCAAAAGAAGGAGAACAAATCATATCTGTCGACAATTTCTGCTGACCACCACCCCTCATCCAGACCACCTAACTCCCCAAACTGTAACCCCTTGATTAGTTATGTACGAGGCACAATTGAGCAACAGATCAACCGGGAAACGCTTTGTAACACCAAAAGATGAACTGAAGGCAAATGCGTGGCAGCTTTTCTGATGCAGACCATCTTCGTCAGAAGGGTTGTGGTAGATTCCCAAACGCCTGGAATTCTTGGATGGAACAATGGCGATTTTATTGAATGAATTTACTCTTTAGGATTTGAAGATATTTTTGTAATTTCTGTCTCTGTCAAAATGATTATTAGTGTTATTTTTCAAGGAACGGTGTCATTTAAACGACAATTTATCTATCAAAATTGTATATCTGTCAAAATGAGATGTCAGTGTTATTTTTCAAAAAAAGGCGTCATTTGGTTCGACAATTTATCTATCATGAACCTGCATATCTGTCAAATGGAAAATGTCAGTGTTATTTTCAGTTTTGGCGTCATTCAGACGACAATTTATCCATCACACCCTGCATTAATGTTAAAATGAGGTTATCAAGGGTTATTTTCGATCTTTTGCGTCATTTTAGACGACAATTTATCATCGCGCCCTCACTGTATCTGTTAAAATGAAAATTACCGAAGTTCTTTTAGATTTGGCATCATTTATGATGACAATTTATCCATCGCAACCCTTTTCTGTCAAAACGAGTTTCATTTTAACGACAATGCCATATCCATCGCAAGCTAACGGAATCAACGGATCAATTTGTCAAAAATGGCCAAATATTTCATCAAGACGATGCCAGGATAAAGATAAATGTCTCTTTGAAACCAGCCAAAAAAAAATGAACTATCAAGATTTCCACATATCTACCGTCTCTTTTCATAACAAAATAATAACAATTTCTGCAAAGGCAGCAGAAGAAACAAACAGACGTTGTTAACTGAAAGGTCCCCCCCCTCTGCAACTTTAAAAAAAAACAAACAAACAGAAAGTATGAATTATAAATCTAGTTGAAAGATGGCGGAAGAATAATGGAGACAGAAACATCAAATATGTTTTCATTAAAGTTAATTGAAAATAAAAGATGTATCTGATGGTATATATATATATATATATATATATATATATATATATATATATATATATATATGTGTGTGTGTGTGTGTGTGTGTGTGTGTGTGTGTGTATGTATATATATATATACATACTGACATTATTTGATCCTACAAATAAATTATACATTTGAAGGCAACAACAGTGAAAAGGCAACTGAGCGAGTTTACGAACAGAAAACAACCAGTCGTTGGTATTTCCGCCTTTTACGTGAGACTATATTATTAGATGAATGAATAGATAGATACTTGAATATCTTTAGACTAAGCCAAATATGATTGAATAGATGAATGAATAATGATAGATAGATGAATTTAATTTAATGAATTTTCGGCCAACATAAAAGCCATAATACATAGATATTTAGATTTATCTTAGAACATATCTATTCATCTATCTATTAGGTCGACATAAGCCAAATATATAGATTGACATAACTAGTTTATTCTATCATAAGCAGAATCTGATGATAATAGATAGATAAATATCTAGATATATAGATAGATATATAAACAAACTACAAAGCGATCTTCATTTAATTTATGTTGTGTATCGAAATCCTCCGATTTCATCATTTTGAACGGGAACCTATTATCCTATACCTACTTCTGTTTAACATTATATATTTATTTTTTTTTATCTCATCTTTCCTTTATTATTTATGATGTCCTTTCTTTAAATCATGAAAGCAATGCAAATATCAATTATTTTCTCTGATCATTATGCATTCAAGAACGAATCTAAATACATAACAGAA